CGTGTAAGCAGAAAGTAAGCCATTTTTAATTCTATTTATCCTCGTTCATATTGTGCTAGAGATAACAAAAACACAGCTAATAATAATTTGAATGTTTTAAAATCTAAACAAAAAATTGAAGCGTAAAAAGTAAACATTTGTTTGCTTCTTTAAAGTTGGATACAAATTCTGTTGTGTAAATGGTCAAACTTTGCGTAAAAAGTAACGTTTTCTTTCTTCTTTGCTGAGGATACGGTAAGTCCTAAAAACAGGTACTTCCTTTGAACCATCGCTTTCAAAATGTGACGGTGGCATGATTTTTTTCGTTTGCAAACTGCTAATATCATTTTCTATTTTTCCCACGTCCTAGCATTTCTTGATGTTTTTTTGCACTTTTTCCCATAAGACCCATAAATTTTTTTAACCGACTTTGTCCTTGAAAATACATTTCGGCTCAGCTCGCCCTCTATTTTTTTTACGGTAGCAGCTCTAAATTCTCCGAAAATTGGCTAACCAGCGGAAAATGCTCGTTATAATCGAAAATTTTCGCGCATCTAATGGGGTGCGCTTCTCACGCAAGTGAAGGCTAGTTTTCGGTAATTTTCTACTCAACACCGCGAGAGGGCGCCGATGCCATTAGCGCATCTTTTTCGTCTACTTTATTCCTTTCACTGGATCTGCAGAGGCTTTTGAAAATCCTAATGCTTTGTTTTTTTTTGCTCACAGATGGTTTGCAGTGTTTAGTTCTCTGTTAAATTTATAATATACAGAAATTTAGTTGTTGCATGCCATTAAATGCCCAAATAATCGAGTTGGATGCGTTGTCTCTGCGATGTAATCTCGTTACGACAGCCCCCCCCCCTTTCCAATATTCTTATTATCAGATCATTTACATTGACGTCAGGCCAGGAAGGCTCAGCGCCTTCAACCCTACAGCAGCCAGGGGAAAATTGTTAAAATTCAGAAACGGCCCTAGCAAGGAAACAAAGACCACCCTTGAAAGTCCTTACGCACTCAATGCCGAGTAGTACTACGGCGCTTTCTTTGTGGTGCCTCCCCTAATAAAATTTGGCGAATTGTACCCTGTGGAAGATAATAAGCTTCCCGTATAGTGGTCCTAGTCAAGGTTCCTTGTCCCATATGCCTCTTAATATAAAACTAGGCGCTGTAAAAATATTTGGTAGCTTTTCTCGAAATGCTCAAAAGAATTTCTTGTTTATTTCCAAAGATTTCACTCAAGTATCAAGAAGAGGGGGCAATTTTATGGGCTACAATACGCTCTGCTGCTGGCAAGATGTTCCCAAACCTATTATAATTCATGTTTTTTCCTCATCGAAACTACATAGATCTTGATTGAGTCGTTTTTCAGAAGTAATAGGTATTTCTCAAAGATTACTGTAAGCTGGTATTCGATAAATGACAGTTTGGCCAACATCCTTTTGTTTCGTTGACCGCTTACTATGCATACATTTACGGACTTTGACGATTCATCAATCGTTTCTGATTCAGCACACATTTTTTTTCTCCTCTTACATCACATCTTCTCACTGTTGCCAAAATTTGGAACAGCTAAATTTGATTAGCGGACACATCGAAGCGGTCACTTTTTCCAAGATTTTCGCCTTGAAAAAATATGGGTTGCGTAATAGGACAGTTGCGAAGAAAAACTTCTGCACGAATGCAGCGTCGCTTCCATATTGCTTGATTCCATTAGCCTTGAAAATCCCAAATGGGCACCGTCGAGGCAGAGCGCGCTGTGAAGAAGAAGAGGACGGGACATGGCTCTCTCGGCCGCTGTCGAGCTATCTTCCTCTAGTCCTAATTGTATGGAATTCATTGACAACTCGCACAGCCGCCAAACTCGATTATTTGGAAGCTGTTTGGGGAGGCGCGCAAAAAGCCTGTTCCCTCTAGGCTTCAGACCTCCCTTCGAAGTGTAATTGTGTTCGAGGAAGTATTTCTGGGAAGATGGTTTGCAAAAGTTTCTTTGAACACCTACCTAGATTAGCGGATAGGGAGGGGTGGAGAGGGGAAGGGAGGGAGGTTCCGAGGGTGGGCCGATTCCTTCAATTTTCCCGCACGTATGGTGTTCATGTTCTTTGATTTGATTTGTTGCTAATAAATAGATACAAAATACTCTCTGATTTAACTGGATTGGGTGCTGAAGGACGGGGCTTCGTGACCTAGTTAAGGCTAGAGAACTTAAAGGCTCAGAGAGCACGAGTGCGAGAGAGACGCCGACTGCGTCGCGGACGCGAGCGACCTTTATTAGGTCACGAAGCCCCGCCTTCCAGCCTCCGATTCAGTTAAATCAAAGGTTATTTAGACTCTATAGATAAAATTCAGAATATAAAAACTGGCAAAATAATCAGCTTTGTAGGCCACTTCTATTTCTCAATACATGAATAAGAAATCGCCTGAAATCTGGAAGGAATTTGAAATAATTTTAATCTTGCCGAGTGTCCTATCACTTCCTCCCCCCTCCCCCCCCCCCTCGTATCCCTCGGAAAGGGGTAGAGGACTATATGTCGCCGAAAGTGGGAGGGTCCCCCGCGGAAGTGCAACAGATACTCAGCTTGTGCATGTATTGGAATGTGTATTTGTGGCAGATGTCCTGCGGGAGCTCCCACTTTCGGCGACATATAGTCCACTACCTCTGGAAAAATCGTCAGTGTTTCCTAGAGAGGTGCGAAACATTGATTGCTATACTGATATTACCCGGACAACTGACAAAGGCTGACTGGGAAGCTCCGCTGATTCCCTATGGAAGTTTCGAAGGTCCATCTGCGGAAATTTCGAGGAGCTGCGAGAGTTTGTTATCTGCGGAATCACCTAAGAATTGTCTTGAAGACACCAATGTTTTCATTTCCCTTTAGAACCCCACAGAATCTTGCCAAGGACGGCTTTTGTTAGACACATGTAAGTTGGACTTCTGCTATTTTTCAGAGCAATTTTACCTCCACCCGGTGTCTCCCCCCCCCCCCTCCTCAATCTTCACGCTCACACACTCCCCTTGAATACCCGTTGTAAAGTTCAGAATAGCGCAAACGCACTCTCTCTTTGATAAATTTGATTACCCGTGCATAATTCATGCTGGATCCGCCAAAAACAGCCACCTACTAGCGGGTACGCTAGATGTTCTGGGGCAATTGCGCAATTTTACTGGTCTACGGACGAGAAAAAGGGGATGAGGAGGGGGGGGGGGTGGGGGTAGAGGTAGATATGGATCTTTCATTCAAGATTTTTTTACAAGCTTAGATCTACACACATCATTCAAGTTTGAACTTCCCGCCATATAGAAACCGGAGTCCAAATAAGTTTTCATGAGGAAGCTTTTTGTAAGGAAAACAATATTTATCGCTCCATTAATCTCACCATCAACTAGTCCTCGCTGGCACAATGTTTTTGCATCATTGTTCAACATCAATATTTGCTTCATTTACACAAGCGTTATTGAACCATATCATCCTTCGTTGCTGAATTATGGAAATTACATTCGACTTGCAAAGGTAAGAATCATTATTTTTAGCAAATTTAGTCTTCCTTTATTGTATTTTTGATTGAGCTACGATTTGAACGTATTAAACTCTTAATTGAATTGAAAGTATAACAGACCTTATGCATATATTACAGATATTCAACCTTAAACTTACCAAAGCCTACAAAAATGTAACTTTGAGTAAATAATGAACAGTTTGAACAAAATAATGATAATTTAAAATAACAGATTTGGCACTTCATTTATGCATTAACAACTTTCGGTGCGGCAATGTAATGAAATCAACACGGATAAAATCTTGCCACATTCTTACATAGATTGAATTTTATTCATTATTGAAATCAAATGTGATGCAAAGTTATTAATATTAAACTTTCAAACTTGATAAAGTCTTCTTTTCTGACTGAGAAGTTCCAGGAAAGACTCAGAAATCAAATCTTACTCCGTCTAAGGGAAAAGTAACACATGTAATTTCCTCTTTTATTATTAGAAAATCAGAACGACGAACAATTAAGTTCCCGGCTATTGTAGATTGTTGCGAGTGAAACGGGGAAAATTCTTTATTGTCAAGCCATTTTAGTGCACTGCAGTACACTGGAGAATCATTTAGGCAATGACAGTTATTGATTGGTCTCGAAATTTTCAAAAACTGAAATAAAGGTATACAGAAGGCTAACCCACACCCAAGGTCCGGCGCAGATCATACTGAAGCAGACTGAATACGTTTTTGGGGAGAAAAAGCAAAGGGGATGTCGTTTTTGTGGCCGAAAATTGCGACGTTTTCTAGTCGACATTTCGTTTTTTGAGGGTTTTTCGTCTGGGGCTGAGAGTCAGAAGGAACTTCGTAAAATTTCGCGGAAGTCGAGGAGGGGTTCGTTTTTGACAAGCAAGACGAAATTATAGGCCAGGCCCTGTCCACAACTCCAACGCATGCAACGCACACGCTGCGCGTCTATACGACGACAAGGCAGTAGGCCTTTCAGTCGCGAAGATTACGTGCGAATTGGAGAGACGCAGACAGTCGCGTTGCTTTCGTGCAATTTGTGCATTTTCGTTGAACTCAAAAGCATTGACACCGTGCTCAGTACGGGCGTTGTTCGTATCTAATATAAATATTATTTTCAATTTTTATACCTCGATGCCTCATGCTTGCTCGATGTTGTAAAAAGGAAACCTCGCTATTAACTGTCTCTTGCGCCAACGGTAGCTCACATGAAGCGGCAACCAAGAAAATACCGTAATATTGGGCGCCAATCGGGCACTCGGAAGTGTACGGTACTGGGCGAAAGTGTGGAGTTGAATTCTTCTCGGCCACAAAAGAATCATGTGAACTTGGCAAGCTTGTTCAAGAGTTTTCCTTAGTTTTCACATTAACCCCATTGATCAGATTTGCCTAGATGCAACTAGGGAAAATATTCCTCATTTCTAATCGAATCCGTTGACTTCACCATTCCCTTCAAGTTTTTCCACGTTTCCCAATCTTTCTTATCAAGTCCTAGAGCATCACCTTATTTTGTTCTCTCCATTTCTCACTGCTCGGTTTGTTAGCTTGTTCAAATTATGGGCGAACCAGCTTCCATAAAAACCTCGTCTGCTCTAAACCACGCAAAGTATTGTGAAAAACATGATGTTATCTCACAAAGCTATAATACTGCTCTCTCAGGATGACAATGGGGAATGAGTCCCCAGTGGCATGGTGTGACGCTTTGGAAAAAGATTTCGATAAGGCATTCGTTTCATTGGATTTGCTTCTTGGGGAGATTGACAGCGATCAGGTAAGTAGGCAAATGTGCCAGGTGCCATACTCCTTGTAAACCTGTTAATAAACGATTCGAGCAAATGCGGCGCGCTAAATGACGGGCATTTGGCATGTGGTGTCAGGTAAGCGAAATTGAATGCGGCAAGCGCGGCAGTCTTTGATTTTTCTCTTCTTCCTCGAACTGTAGTGGAATAAGAACTTTTCGTTCATAAGGTGCAAGCGCATACCCATAAAAATTTCTTACGTTAGTGCGCAACATTTACATAACCATTCTGCTTGAACTACGGTCCATGGTTATCAAATGTAGGCAGTTTTCACCCATGGGGTCTATTTTTCGAGGGTTTTTAGTTCCTTTGTGAAAAATCATTACGATAACTGCCTTTTTTAAAACATGATCTGTTACTGAAAGCATCTAATTTTTTCAGGTTGAAATAACATATGAAGGACGCCAGAAGATGACGTCCCTTAGCGGCAGTTTTGCTCAACTGATGCATAAAGCCCAATCGATGCATCATGCATTATCCAGATATGAGAAGGTCAGCCAATCCAATTGCTCCCCTAGGAGCCTTATTTCCATCCGATACGAAGATAAATGGTAGGAAGATGGAAGACAATGGGGAAGAACTCTTTGATTCTAGGAAGTCAGCATATTGCGAAGGGATCTGATTGAGGCCCGTGCCGATCGTGATGCAATGGAGAAAGAAATGCAACAATTGATGTTACAGGTTAGTATTGGTAGTTATTCGGGCAGGGGGGGGGGGGAGGCTCTTTGAATCCAAAAGTCTACGCGCAGCCAGGGGCGAATGATTACGATAGCCATAATTTACAGCAGAAAACCAATGAAATCGTTAAACGTCTGAATCAGCCTTTAAGAAATAAAGGAAACTTAGAAATATCATGAAATCCGAGTAGAAATGCTGCAGTGATCGCTGTGCATGACGGACGCCGATGTGCATACAGTCGAGTAGATTCAGCGGTAAATATAGTTTGCTTGCACAGAAGGTGAAATGCGGTAAAATTGGCGCGTGAAGAAATAGTTTCGAGTGTGACGCCGGCCAATTGCGCGCGCAAGATACCCGCGGTACTGACGTGGCTACTTGTTCACGCGCAAATTTCACCACATTTCACCTTCTGTGCAAGCACACTATATTTACCGCTAAATCTACTCGACTGTAAGATCAATCAATAGTCAGTCCAGCTGTAAGATGTCCTCCTGCGCCGCGACTCATAGGCGTTGACGCGCGCCGCCTGACTCAGCTGAGCTGTTGATTTGAGCATTTTTTCAAAATAATCGATTTTTTCCCGCCTTTGACAAGTTAAATTGCTGTGAGACGTCTATGGGTTTTCTCTCGCAGTTTTTGGGTATGGTGACCAGTAATAAAGTAATTTGTAATTACGTAATTTAGTGGAATTTCTAGAGTAATGCGATGTTCACACTTGAATTTACCCATTTGTCAGTACCCTCTGTGCAGCAACTAAATCCTGCATTGTCTTTTTGGAAAAAGATCTGTCTTTTTTAGGTACACAGCCTTCAATGTCAACTTCACGCTAAAACAGCACCGCATGAATCCGACATGATCAAGAAGAAATTAGTAAGAAACTCGACGCCAATTTCTGAATTATTTCAAGAAATAGCCATTTTAGGATTCACAACTCGGCCAGCTGCACGAAGTGCTAATGCCATCTTTACGGACAGAGTGTGAGCTAGAAGTTTTGCGAAAGGAAAGTGACCGGCAACGGCATTTGATTGGAGCCTTGGAGACAGAGGTGTTTGGAGCGCGACTAGCGGCGAAGTATCTGGACAAGGTTTGTACGAGTTTTCCAGGAATTTGGCTACTTTCTGGGAAGGGGGGAGGGAGTCAAGAGTCGAGTCTAAACAGTAGTCTTCTATTCATGAAAACCAGGAAACCTTCTTCCCCCTTGTCATCTTAGTTTTTCTGAATTTAGTTATGCGTGTCCTTTTTGCTTCTCCTTACTGTAGCCAGATAAAACCTGATATTTGCCCAAATTGCATTTTCTGGCAAATTTGGGCCACTTCACATTAGAAACGAGTTTTGCACAATTTTCAGCATGTTTCAAGTATACGATGCACTTTAGGAATTAGCCGGCAGAATTCAGCAAATTCAATTGCTTGGACGAAATATGCGCGGCGTCGAACACGATCGACTCTGGAACCAGCTAGAAGCCGAAATCCATCTGCACCGACATAAAACAGTGATTCGAGCATGTCGGTGGGTATACGGTAGTTGTACAGTAGTTTTTTGAGACTCATATGCAATTAGCGCGACAACTTGTGCTGAAGCTAATGGAATTAGTATGTTGCAATTAGCTTGGTGATACAAACCAGATGCGGCACATTTTTGCAGTTTTTGTGAGAGAATCACATGAATTGGCAGCTTTATTTATACCCGTTTGTGGAGCGCATGGTTTGTACCAGTTGTCCGCATCCAACCCGATAGACACATGAACAAGCTGAAATGAAAGATCGAAGTTTTTTCTTGCTCCACCTGCTGTTTTTCATTCAAAGTTGATATAGGCTAATTCGCGGTATTGCAACTTTTCGACCAATCACAGGCCGCCTACCGTAATCACTCAAGTGCTAATTAGCAAAGCAGCTTGGGCATAGTTGCGTGCATACAGCTGCATGTAATTCGTCCTTTTGAACACAAAAACAAACTAATTTGTAGAAACTTCATGAAATTATTGATTTAGGGGACGAGGTCAAACAAAAGGACTTCCAACACCACCTATCAATGACATCGACCAAGCTAAACGAAGGAGAGGAGTTGGTGAAACACGAAAAGTTGTATTGTCAAAGCAACCACATGAAGGTCTAGGAATATCTATTACGGTAAGTAAAGAGCCATAATTATTATGCGAGAACTGGTCCCCGCTTTTGTATGCGCTAGCAATAATTGTTGTCCATTCAAGTTTCTTCCGCAGAAGTCTATTGAACTGGTTGATTTGTCAGTAATTGTATGGGCACTGGCTTTGGGGTAGAACTGATCATACGCCTATAGAAAAGGCGAGAACTGGTCCCTGCCTTGAATGTGCTGTGAAACTGTTGGTTAATTAGTTTTCCCTTACAAATGCCTATTCACATTATTCAAAATCAAATACCTGCTTGAGGACCACTTTTCGTATAAACCCTGAGTATACTACATCGTCTACTTAGAATGCGAGAACTGGTCCTCGTTTTACATGTGCTAACAATAGTAATGCTCATTTAACATCCTTTTGGAAGTACCCTGTTTCCACATCTGTCAGTAATTGCATAAGGACCATCTTTCGTTTAAAAGCTGTATATATGTGATCAATGTATTGCCATAGGATGCGCTCAGTTCAAATATGTCTTCAAATCTGTTTTCATTTGGAAAAAAAATGTTCTATACTGTTGCCATTACCGCGCGAAACAATCTCAATTATAGACCTTTTACTCAGTTTTGACACATTTTAGGGTGGATCTGAGCATGCCCTTCCTATTGTAATTTCCGAAATTCAACCTGGACAGCCGGCTCATAGATGCGGGCAAATCTTTGTTGGCGATGCAATCCTTTCCGTAAATGGCTACGATTTGCGCAATGCTAAACACCAGCAGGCTGTAGATATATTGAGTTCACAGGTGAGGTTACAGTATTAAAATGCAAAAGAGTAGAATGAACTCTCGGTAAATTTCAGCAAGGAGATCTGCACATGGAAGTTGTTTACGTGGCACCTGATGAGGATTCCGATGATGATGGTACGGTACTGATTGAAGATGCCGACGGTAGAATGTGAGTGGATTCCAGCGAGATCTACTCAGTTATAAGCCATTTTAGGACAACCTATTGGCTCCGGATTTTTCTAATTTTTGAGCTCCATATTTTTGATCTTTTAATCCGTCTAGAAATTTTTTCTCTTGATGGAAGTGGAAAGGAATGTTCTTAGAGGGAAATTACAGACCTTGAGCTTTGTACTAACCGTCCTTACTTTCTCAAACGATTATCCGGCCGCCCGATGTTCCGTCATAGTTTTTATGTTGATTTAACCTGGCAGACAGCATAGCAGACCCCTTGTCAACCAAATCCCAGCGGATTTACGATGGTGCCATGGCACCATGTGACACCGCCATTTCTGTACAGAGCCAAACAGAAAGAAAAAAAAGCCTATAATCGCTGTGCTATTGTCTGGTGGCTACATACTGGCCAATGGGGATGTGGTTTCATTAAGAAACCAGCGATTAAATTAGTAATTTTGAATGTAATTAGAAGTTTTTGAAGAAGTGGTACTGTAATGCCAAACTGTTGAGATAATGTGCATTTGCGCTTCATTGGAAATTTCGTTTAGGTTGGTACAAAATTTCTAGAGATGTTTTTGGAAATCTTCAATGTTCTCCAGTGAAATCTGCCCGAATGATGCGGTATCTAGTAAAGTCCAAAAATCACGCTGACAAAGAAAATACTCATTACGTGAAAATTTCACTTCAAATACAAATTGTTCATCAGTGGCCAATTATTTTGATATCACCGGTGCAGCGAAGTGTTTTTTTAAAAGATTTACATGTTTCAAATATCAAACCAATTCCTTAATTCTGTTTTGCATAAATCGATAACATGTACTAAATTAGCGCCATGTCTGTAAAACGTACGATATACGTTGGGCTTTGGAACAGGTCCAAAACGAGTATTAAAGAATTTTTGGTGCTACACTGTCGCGCCGACCTAAATCTAATATTATCAGCGCATATTTCGAAAAAAAAAACAAATGGATATCTATTTTAATCTATATTTCAGCTACAACATGTACAACAATTCCGTTGAAGAACCGTCTTCAAGTCGTTCGTCTACAGCCGGGTCGCATCAGAATTCAGAATGACACTCTACATAGCTTGTCCAAAAATAGTCCTGCTTTTTCGATCTCCTTCGCTCATCTTCCATGCAAGCGGCTTCTTGCCTGCAGTCTCTTTCACTTCAGGAGCTAAAACTAATATTTTGTGACGAGAAGTTGATCTCGCCCTCAGCTTTCCGGTGTTCCCGTTCAGTATCCATAGCCATTACGATTCGGTTCTTCTCCTTTTCCCCCACTGTCGCCATAGTTTTTCGTTATGCCTGGTGATTGATGGTGCCACACAAGTGCTCTCTGTCTTATTTCAATTTTTTTTTCTTGAGTCTGTACATAATTGTTCTGCATTTTAGTTCTCACTGTCACGTACAATTTACGGTGCTATATATAAGCGAAAGTTATTGATGTCTTATAAAGGTCTTCGCTAGTGTTTAATCATACGTACAAGGGCGAAGATGATATTGAAAGCTTTACTGCAACAACTTCAAACATAGTAGGGATGGGAGCAAAAAAGGATATTTTCAGAAAGGCTTGAATAAGAAGCCAGAGAACGACGTTTAGGTCTAGAGATTCTTTTTTAGTTTGACGTCACCACTCTCGTTTGCCAGCGCAAACCATCTTGTATAACCTCAGGAATGCTAGCAACTTGATCGAAACCATCATTTTGACTAAATAACACGAGGTAACCAACAGCTTCACATCATCTTTTCAATGAAATTATGAGATTGGGACGGGGATGGGTACATTTTTCGCTTGATTCTGCATCTAGCAAAGCGATGACATAGAAGGAATGAAACCTTCAGTTACTCTCATGACCCCTATCGACCCATAACCCTACCTGGGCTGTAATTGAGTGAGCTTACTCATAGTGATGATCTTCCTTGCTCCCAACGTGTCAAATCATCACTGTTTCAAATGAAAAAATGGCCAGGAGTACTTATTCATTTCAACCAATGAGTCATGGTCACATGTCTGCATACCACAAATGAAGTACTATTTTCGTCACTCTGTCTGACAAGGGATGAATACTTGGTCGAAGTGGCGTTTCCATATAAAATGTACACTGTATTATAGAGCATGGAACGCTGAGTTCAAACCTACTTTCGGTATCTGCAAAGCGCTTCTGGGAGGGGAGTTATGGAAGTTTTTTGATGCAAGGAAGAATTGAATTTGAAAGCACCGCTACAATAAAATCATTCAAAACCTTAATCCGTTAGTTGAAATGAGGCCTATAATTGCTACCAGGGCGTTTTATAGAACAAGGAATTCAATTTAATAAACTCATCTCAGTTATTACATTTCAAGCGTCGAAAACACCTCAACACCAATTTTTACCCTAGCTAAATTATTGAAACTCCACCTAAAAAAAACGCATAACTCCTCTCCCGTAAGCGCTTTGCAGATACCGAAAGCAGATCTGGAATCAGCATTCATTGCTCTAAAAGATAATATGCATCTTATACGGAAACGTCACTTCGACCAAGTATCCCTTCCTTGTGAGAACACAATGATGTTAGTCTGCTGGTTACTTTGTGGTTTGGTCAAGAGAGAAACAATCATGTGACTTGCTGGTAACTTGCTTATTCCATAGTTTGTGTGACCGATTGTACTGAGAGGCAGTCAAAAGATGATCATGATTGCCACGGTGAAACAATGACTGAAATCACAACATATTAATTTCGAACAAATTACTACCCATCCAGCAAGGTGGCGGCTTCAAATCCTACTCAGACAATTATTGCGAGCACCCGCGGCCCCTAACGGTACCTTCCGGCGGTGCGCGGGCGTTAAATTCTTGGATTGATCATCCGGGGCTCTAGATTTATTTTCTTGGCCACCCGCGACTCAATATTATCGCTAGGGACAGGCCGCGGTCCTCCAAAGTTTAATCGGACCATCCGCGGCCCAAGAAAAAACACTCGAACTTTGGGCCTTATTGGGCGCGCTGCATATTTAGTTCTCGGGCAAGCCGCGGCCCTTTAGGCGACGTCCCGACAATATCTATCACTTCGGCGGGCCCGGGTCTTGCTGGACGCCACAATTAGTACATGCTGTAGGAGAGAATGCTACTCTCCCGTAAAATACGCCGCGGTGATAGGGCTACCCTCAACATTTGCGTCATTTGGCAGAAGCCAAGTGGCGGTCAGTTTGGTCATCAATAGTGTCTCGATGAACTCCACAGGACACCCGACAATATCTATTACTTCGGCGGGCCCGGGTCCTGCTGGACGCCACATAGTACATGCCGGTGGGCCGTCGAAACCTTGGTTTAGTAATCGTGGCTTTCATGCAAGGCCAAAGAATATGAACAGGTATCTGTGGAAATCCTGAAATTTGGAAATAGTATTCATAAACTCCATTGCTTTATCGGGGTAGTGGTGCACCCGCCGATGCATACTTATAAGTATGATTTGAAACAAAATTAGTGCACGTTTTTCAAATTTACAACGCTCGGCAAAGATAATCTGTCCAGCTACAATAAAAGAGGTAGGGGGAACGATTTCCAATATCTTGACCAACCTTCGCGGGCTATTGTTTCTGTTGTAGAGCCGTCCCTTATATTGGAACTTGCTCACTCGTTATAGGCTAGGTCGATATGGTTTCTGGGGATGCGGCGTACCCGCCGCACCTTGATATATTTGTTTGTGTTGTTCTCTAGTTATTCCTAGTGAACCCTCGGCATGTAGCCGATAGGCAGAGGGGGAACTCTTGTGTTTTTCTAATAAATCGTCAACGGCTCAACGCGTTCCACAACAACTGGCGATCAGGATCAAGGACAAGAAGACCTCCACCGACCAAGGACCAGAAGAAGCTCCAGCTCCAGCGACCAAGGACCAGAAGCCTCGATCGATCAAGGACAAGAAGAATTGCTGCAGCTCAAATCGAGGAGGAACCCAACATTGGTCGAGGAGCTGGGAAGTAAGCTTTACTAAGAAGTTATCGATTTAGCAGGATATTTCGTCGACACCAGAGAAGTCCACCATGCCGAAGGCCAGTGAAGAGCGGCATGGCGACTCTTTGGAGAAGGTTCTGTCGGTCATGGTCGACCAGATGCGGCTACAACAAGAGGAGATGAAGCTGCATATGCAGCTTCAACAGGAACAAATGCAAGCTCGACTACAAGCCCAGCAGGATCAAGTACAGATGCAGTTGCAAGCTCAGCAGGAGCAAATGAGGACGCTGATCTCCACTCTGGTCAGTAGTCAAAGAGCCGTCCAAGACACCAGCAAGGATCAGTACGATCAGCTGAGTAAGGACGTGCAAAGGTTCGTCTCAGACGAAGAGACAAGCAACACCTTTGCGTACTGGTATGGCAGGTACGGACCGGTTATACGCGACTCCCAGCTTTCGGATCAGAAGAAGCGCGACTTAATCCTAATGAAGCTGGATGAAGAAGCATACCGGAAGTATGCTGATGAGGTTTTGCCTGCGCAACCGAGCGACTTGGACTTCGACACCACCGTCGCGAATCTCCAGAAGCTGTTCGCCTCCAAGAAGACGCTCATCAGGGCCCGTAGTAATCCACCCTACCTGCCGGCATCTCATGCCCTGAGGTCGCCCTGATGTGGACTTGAGGTCCCTAAAATCTCAAACTGCCTCCGGGGACCTCCAAGTCAGGCTGATCATCTATTTTTTTGTGTTACGGTCCAGTTTTGCTGTCGAAATAGTATGGGAATTGAAAGAAAATCAAAAAAAATGTCCTCGTTTGCCATTTATTTGGGCCGAATTGTGAACCTGCCGGCAGGTTCACGATCTATTTTTGTCGAAATTTGAGATGCCATCTAGCTCGCAGCCTGCCGGCAGGTCAGAGAGTGCAGGAAATAGTGTGTAGTTTGTGGAGTGCGACCTGCCGGCATGTGGACGTGCCCCTACCACGTCCACATGAAGGCACCTTTGCCGACCGCGTCTGTGAAATTCCGTCGCGCGGCATTACACAAATTACGTCCAGCAAAAGAATCAAAAAATCTACTTTCCACGAAAAATTATCATTTTTGACATTATATGGCTTTTTCTCATCCAAAGTCAGTGATATTATGAAACCATAAAGAAAGTCATTTTTCATTTTGCAATTGCTTTAAATGTCATTTGCAACGATTTCGTCTCTCGCCTCTTATCAATCAGCTGTTTTTTCAGGTCAACGTCTCTCACACATTGTATTGATCATGCTCTCATACAGGCGCCACTTAGGCAGCGTTTATATCATTGGTGCCGCAGACAACAAAAACTGAACGAATGGTCGAGTGGTTAGTGCGGCGGCGTTAGGTTGACGCATGCAGGTTCGAACGCGCGCGATGCAGCTGTTTTGCGGCTATCAGCGTCATCAAAATATCATGTGCATTGACTGTGGAGTAAGGATATTTGAAATTATTAGAACCTACGAGCGATCAAGGCGATGAGACATCAAGCTCGAGAAGTACAAAAAAAGAGAAAAACTAATGAAAACGAGAATCTAAGGCAAGATTTAGCTTGCGCTCGAAACACGAAAATGCCGCGAGGTTCGCGAACTTGCCGGCATCTTTGATGCCACTTGGTAGGGTAGATTACTACGGGCCCAGGAGACGGTATGAGTGCCTGAGGATAACCTGCCCTCCGCTTACTCCAGCGTACGTACCACTTCGCAAGTACGCCAACACTATCAAGCGGATGGACGAGGATGCCCGGCTTAAGGAGGTCGACTACACGGCGATGAAGACGCTGCAGTTCGTAGCAGGTCTTCAAGATCCCTCACTTAGGGAAGTTCGCCTTCGTATGATTCGTCGACTGGACGCTCACAGGGACGAAGCACCGTTGACAATCGAGGACCTAGTCGCGGAATGTGAGAATTTTACTGCTATGAAAATGGATAACACGGACATGGAAAGCACGCGCGACATCCATGCAGTGTGGAAGAAAAAGAAGGTAACTTGTTTCACGGCGGAGGACCACATTTCAGAAGAGACTGTCCACAAGCCGACAACACTGGTCGGAAGAAGCGGCGGAAGGCAGGAGCGCAGTTTGGCCGCAGAAGACAGTGCAAACATGTGGTCACTTTCGACGCCGAGAGCGCGCGGACCTACCTCGACGTCGTAGTTGGAGGATGTAATCTCAAACTTCAGCTGGACACAGGTGCAGATATAACGCTGATATCACGCAGAGCTTGAAAGAGGATGGGATCCCCGGCTCTGGAACCCTGTGTGATGCCTGTGGAAACTGCAGGCGGGACGTCGATGAAGATAAATGGTAAATTCTCAACCGACTTTTCCGTCAGAGATCGAGTTACACGGAAGATGCTTCATGGAAATGGCACATGTTACGTCACTGAAGGCTCGAATCTACTAGGACTGAAATGGTGCATCCAGCTGCCGGCATACAAAAAGCTGAAGGGCAACTTCTATTGTAGAAAGGTGACTAGCAAAGAGAAAATCCGAGCCGAAGTGG